TCTCCTGCTTGGGCAGGGGGTTGGACTAGATGACCTACAATGTCCCTCCCAACTCTGTTAAATCTGTTAAATACCCTCATGATCCAAATGATGCTATGGCTGCCCTTGAGCAGTACCTGTTGGCTGTGGGGGCCTGGATGGGGGACAACAGGCTTCAACGGAAACCTGGTAAGACCAAGTGGCCTTGGGCATATAGAGCTTCATCCTCTGGGACTTTGACCAAACTCTTTAATTCTGGCACTACCCCAGAGAGATTCAGTTTGCAACTTGGAGGTACTGGACTTGTAACTCCTGGTCAAAGAGCCTTTGCTAGGACATCCTTCGGACAATTTTGGGTTGTCTGCCAGTTGCATTTTTTCCTGGATCAAGAGTCCCTGGGCTCAGTCATTCAAGCTCTGGTCATCTCACGTCTGGACTACCGCAATGCACTCCACACAGGGCTACCCTCCAGGAGCATTCAGAAGCTACAACTGGTGCAGAATGCAGCAACGGGGGCAGTTTTGGGGACCCTCTAGCAAGGCCCATGTTACACCATTGTTCATGCATACCAATGGCATTCACGTGTGAATAAAAGGCGGGAAACCCACGAGCATGCAAACCACATGGGAAAAGATTCGAGTCAGAACTGCGGACAGTTATTCGGCGAATCCCCTGCTCTCTGCACCCCTAATCCCAGCCAGATGTTTTCCAGTATAGTTTGCACGCGGACAGGTTTTGCGGCTTTGATCCGCCTGCTTCTTCACTTGCCTGGCCGAGAACTTGGTCGCTTTCCTGGAATCGAAGTGACCGACCAGCCTCGCTTTCACTTTCGGCCGCTGCTGCTGTATAAAAGCCCGAGACGAGCGCAGTAAGCAAAAGATCGCGGAGGGCCGGGAAGAGAGTCGACGAGCGATCCATTGATTTTTTTGAAAAGACGGTAAAACGGGAGGACCGACCGAGGGGGGCGGCTGCTTCTCCCAACCTCCCCTCCGGGCTTCGGTCCTTCGCCACAGCGGCAGGAGCTTTCTGGGCGTGGGGTCCTCGGGGCGGCTGGATGGGCCCCCTTTGCTGGCTCTGGCCAAGCAGTTGCGGGGATCCGGGAAACAGAAGCGCCCTTGGAAATCGGGCTAGGAGGAGGGAAAGGCTGGCGGGAGGGTTTGCGGGATAGAGAGGTTTCTCCCCAGCGGTCGGTGCGGGCAGGTGTTGGAGGCGGTGGGGAGGGGGCTTCTGGGCGGAAATGCCTCTTGGGAAATTGCGGGGAAGGTGGCCCCGTTTGGCCCCCCACTCCCCCCCTCCCTTCGGACAGGTTTGCCGCCGACGGCTGGGTTGGATCTGGAGACCCTCCTGCCCTGAGTGGCTTCTGGAAATCTGGGAGGAAGAGATAGTTGAGGAGGGATCTGGGATTACAAAACTCATGTGCTCACTGACCTGGGATGGGCTTGATGTCACCTGGAAGTCATGAAGTGTCTTTTATAGTCCTTCTTTGGGAAGAAAGTTCTTGCAGCTGCCACATCTTCTCTGCAGCTGCATCTCCTCCTCCAAAGCCAGGATGGAGGCTCCGGTGTGCCTGGTTGAGAACAGGAAAAATTGCCTCCATGTTTCTCCGGAGGCCCTTCAGTTGCTCTCAGACATTCGGAATCCGGTGGTGGTGGTGTCCATCGTGGGACCGTATCGCACGGGCAAGTCCTACCTGATGAACAGGCTGGCTGGCAAAAATTCAGGTGAGAAGGACAGAGATGACCCAGGCCAATATCCACAAGGTGAACACCTGGGTGGGAAAAGGAACACCCCCAATTCCGGGGTTCTCTGCTCCAGTAGAGAGGTTGTAGATGGAGCCCAGGACTTTCCTTCTCCAAAATGCCCATTGTGGTCAAATGACAATCGATCTTTTAGGCTGATGTGATCTTGCAGAATTTTATCATAAGCTTTATGATAGTAAGATTACAAAATGTCAGCCTTGTGGGGAAAACCAGTCAGGAAACATGACCAAATGAGCTATTTTTACATTGTTGTGAAGCTGCCTCGAAAAATGTTTCATATCTGAAAGTGCAATTCTTCACTCATCCTTACCACTGTAGGAACTAGGGAGGGTCCCTTCTGAGCCTCGTGTCCTCCCAGAATTAGTCGGCAGCCTGTATTGT